GAGGGAGAAGCAGGCTCCCCGCCGAGCCGGGAGCCCGATACGGGGCTCGATCCCAGGACCCCGGGATCATGACTTGAGCGGAAGGCAGACGCTTAACCGACTAAGCCACCCAGGTGCCCCGAAGATTTTATTTATTTATTTGACAGAGAGAGACACAGCGAGAGACGGAACACAAGCAGGGGGAGTGGGAGAGGGAAAAGCAGGCTTCCTGCCGAGCAGAGAGCCCGATGCGGGACTCAATCCCAGGACCCTGGGGTCATGACCCGAGCCGAAGGCAGACGCCTAACGACTGAGCCACCCAGGCGCCCCTGAAAACAGTTTTTTAATTCAGGAATAATCTGACTTTGTGTTAACGCCCTCCAGGGGTTCGGGTGGGGCTGCTTATGATGAAGGGTCTAAACAGTGCCCGGTGGTCCAACCCAACTCTTGCTAGGACAGCAGACTCCCCTGCCCCCTTCCTTTTCTGATGCCGCGTTAACAGCAGCCATCCCTGGGTGAACTCAGCCCTCCGTCTTCACTCCCTCAACGGGCTGCCACCAGCACTCCCACACCCGCACCCCGCTCCCATCTTTCTGCCTGTTACATGGTGGCCACGTTTCCCCTCCTGTCTCAAGGGAGCCTCCACCATCCTGATGGTTTCTGCCTTCTCCATGAACACCCGCCCCTCTCTTCCAGAGCCTCTCTCCCTCAGGATCAGATGCCACACCGGCCAACTAGTTCTCAGCTTCATGGCATTTGAATCGAGAAGAGAATTCTTGGAGACCAAACAGCCTTGGAAACATGGCGAGCAGAGCAAGAGCTATGGCCTTGTTTGCTGGGGGCCCTGATCCACACTGCCGGAAGTCACACAGAGTCTTTTTTGGGGGATGGGGGGGCAGAAGTTGCTTCTTCTAATAATGTTGGTCTAGATCCCCATCCTGTGCGCTCTAAGTCATTGAGTCCAAAGGGAGTTCATGAACCCATGCACACAGTTGGCGATTACTCATGCTACCTTGCGATTCCTTTATTGTTGCCCAGAGCATTATTTACCTTTTTGAGGGTGGAATTTGTGGGGAAATAATCTCATATTCAGCAGGCACCCATCTAGTTCTGATGAACTCTGAACTGGGCTGTGGGCTGCGGGACTTAAAATCGTGTTGTATTTGCTTTGCGCGCCCCCCCCCCCAGGAAAGATACCATGTAATGATTCACCAACATGCCATGCAGGCCCGGCTGCCAGTGCAGAGAATAAAGGGAAGCCAGCTGGGCTGTGGTTGGCAGACCAGACTTCTAGAAAGAAGAAGAGCTCAAGCGGACAGCAGGTGTGGAAAAGGTGGCAGGGGGGAAAGGAGGAGACAGGAGGTCTGGCGAGGAGGCCCCCACATTTCTGGCAGTCCACAGGCCAGCTGTCTGTGAGGGGAGGTTGAGGGTCAGGCCTCCGGGGTGGCAGGAGGATGGTGATGGCTACCCTGGGAGCAATAGGTGAGCCACTAGGATGGGAAGGGACAGGAGGCGGCAGAGTCCCTGCGCTTTGTTAGTATGTGTGTGGGGGGGGTGTTGTGCATGTTGCACTCTCTCTGCTTGCCAGGGAGGCCTGGGGACCCTGGAGCTAGATGGCATGGGGATGGACTCAGTGACCTTGCACTTCTGTGAGTCCAGTGAGGGTTTGTTGCCTCCCGAAGGATCCCTTGGTTGCCCCCAGGGCAGGAAACAAGTGTTTCCCCAGATCAGGGCTCCATGATGCTTCTGCGGGGGATCCTTTTGAAAGCAGAGGTGGGGAGCTGCAGCTGGAGGAAGAGAGGGTGCCAAGGGGGGAGGGCGTCGGCTTCCGAAATGTGAGATGTCAGTAGTTTATTTCTTAGATGTTTTTGGTACATACGCTCTCTAGAACCTGACTGATGGTTTGAAAAAAAATATAAGTGGTGAAAAAAGGAAATTCTGTGAAGGAGGATGAAACACTTGGCTTAACCGTGAGGCTGGAGAGAGGATGTGGGAGGGAGAAAGTGACACTCTGATGCCCCCCCACCCCAGTCCGGTTTGGCTTAATCTTCACTGTCCTACTGGGGACAGTTCCTCCAAGTCCAACAGATGCTTGAATGTTGAAATGTTGCTTCACAAGACTGGGGGCTTCTGGACTTTCCCCAGGCCCAGCTTGCTGTGTGATCCCCAGTAAGCGGCCCAACCTCTCTGGGTCTGGGTTTCACACCTGGTGTCTCTCCTGGAGAAGAGAAGTTTTGTCTTTTAGCTTGGCTTGCCATCCTCAAGATTTCCTTAAGGGTCTGAAAAGAGTGCAAGAGGGGTCTGAGGAAGTGAATTCCTCGGGGTTGGTGGGGAGCTGTCGGACGGCCTGCCTGGGTATGCAGAGTGCGAACACCCACCCTTCATTGTCCCAAGGCCTCAGATTTGACTTTCAAAGGGAAAGCACCTGTCCTGATCAGGTGGGCCTCGTTCCAGTAAAGCTGGCTTTGTTCAGTCCCGTGTGCTGGTGTGAGGGCAGAAGCTGAGGGCTCTGTGGGTGACATGGCTCCTTGGGGGGGGGTGCGCGGGGGGGGGGCAAAGCGCTACATGCACCTGGTCATGCGTGGCCGGTCATGCCTCCAGCACCCCTCCCTGAGCGCCTGCTGCTGTGGGCAGGTGCACCCCCTCCGATGTCCTCACGCCGGGGTGAGAAACCAAGGCACAGGCAAGTCACGAAGCTCAGTTAGAGGCCCTTGGGCCTCCCAGGGACAGTTCAGTCAGGTGTGAGCCAGGTCTTCGGACTCCTTGCCTGTGTTGTCTTCCCACAAACTGTTTATGATGGGCCCTATGGAGGCTGCATTCTCTGCTCTGATTTATCCCCCTGGAGCGCCAGTGATTGTGGGAGTGAATTCACTTTGCTCAGAGAGGAAGAGCTGAGCCTCTGTAGGAAAAGTGAGAGGAAAAAGATTTCCTCTAATAATTTCAGCTCATCCCCGTGACACCTCCCCTGTCCCCAGTGTTCCGGGATGCACCCGAGGCCCTTCCTATAAGACCCCAACAAATGAATCCCTAATAGTGCAATTCGCACAGTTGAGGTGGCCACTTGCCTCCCTCCTCACACAGATGCCAAACCAGTGTGGCATCCTGGGGCCAAGAAATGAGAGACCTTTTTCCAGGTGTGTGTCCACCTCGACGGTGCTTCCTGCTTCACAGTGCTCTGGGGGACACTGTAGGGACGTGTGTTTGGGAGAGGTGTTTTCAGCATGAAAGTGATTTTTTCCTTCTCACTTCTCGTATGGAGGCCTGGTGTTCCCTCCCTGGGCAAAGTGAGTCTGTGTCCACGCCAACCAGCCGCTGTAGGGGCTTTCGGGGGCAGGAAGGGAGGACCAGAGCTCAGGGACAGATGCAGCTAGAATCCCCCCTTCCCACTGTGCCCTGCTTGCCAGTTCCACGCCGCAGACTCTGGTGGGCCCTCTTGGGTTCTGGGCAGACCTCAGAGCAGGAGTGCAGGCCCGCTGGAGTCTCAGAGGTGGTCTGGCAGCTGAGGCTCCGGGAAGGTGGGGGTTTACTCTTTATGCCCTCCTGAGCTCCGGCCACACGCTCTTGGGGGCTGATTTGGAAGGACCTCTTATTCCCATTTTTCAGAGGTTTTTGTATAATGCATTTTGCCTCAGCCCTTGAACAAAGCTTGTGCTTACTATTAATGCTAGAATAATGACTTGTGTCACATGTCAGCCACTGGGGCTCTTAATCCACTGCTGCATTCAAATATTGGGAAATATATTGCTTATGACACTGGGCTAGCAGGAAAAATACCACTCCATCGAGGAGGAAGGAGGGTCAGTTTTGTGATCTACCTAGTAGCCTGTGGCTGGCCCGAGACATCAGGACATCCTTTCGGCTCGGGCACCACTGAACACCCACTGCATACCAAGTGCTTATCCATTGGCTCCTTTTCATGCCTGAAACAGACCCAAGAGGTAGTCACTCTGGGGCTTATAAAGGCGCCCACACGGGGCCATATTGTGAAAATGCAGCGGAGTGTAAAATGCCCATAAGGGTTTGGAATAGACCAAGTGCTCAATAAATGGGACTTCAAATCAATGTCATCCCCATTTTACAGAGGAGGAAAGTGAGGCCGAAAGAGACTCTGGGACTCAAAGCCAGGTCGACCTGACTCCAGAGCCCGGACTCCCCCGTCTCGGGTGGGAACGATCGTGTGTGTTGTGTGTGATGGAGGCTCCTGCCTGTCTACACTGCTCAGTGCCTGCAGGGCCCCTCGCAAGTCACGCCCTTTCCTGTCTGGGCCCTCTGTCCTTCTTTGACTTTCAGTGTCCTCTCGTCAGCTGAGAGTTGGGCACATGCCCGCCCCCCCGCCCCAGTCCATGTGAACCTCTTTCTTCTGCCAGTTCACACTTCCCTGGCTCCTTGCCACCCCTGACCATTTTCCTGGCACTAGTGCGCTGTGTTCTTTGGGTAATAATTACATGGACTGGTTCACGCATCAGTCGGATCAGTTAACAGTCGTCCCCCCGCCCCCACCCGCCAGGCCCGGTGTGTGAAGCTCAGGGTTAATGATTGCTCAGGAAATCGGCTCATGAATTCGAATCATCTGAGGAGGAAGTTGGGGAGGGAGGTGGCTTTGGCCAGGAGGGGGGGCTGCACCCAGTGTCTGGGCCTGCTCCCCACGCCCCCCCACTGCCCTCACGCCTTCCTGTTCTCCAGCTCTTATCTCTCTGAATTCAGCCCCACCGGTCTGCCGGCCCACGCTCCCGCCCCGGGCCTTTGCTTTACGGTCCCCCTCCCTGGGGGCACCCTTCTCTCCTCTGTCAACGCCAGCCCTTCTCCTCTCAAGCTTTACTTTCTCTGGGAGCCTTCTCTGACTACCCGACATCCTTGCTCCGGGCCCCGTCTCTGAACTCCCCTGCACAATTGGGCACATTTTTTTCCTGAGCTCTCCCTAGCATGTCAGGCACTGCGCTCGGTTCCTGGGAGTCCGCAGTGAGCGTGTCAGGAGCCTGCCGTCCAGGAGGGGGGTCCTCGGGCCGTGGCCCCATCCCTACCCTGCCGTCCAGGAGGGGGGTAGACACGCTGCCCCGGGAGCGCCCGTGCAGCCCGAGGTACGACGGGGGTGCCCGAGGAGGCCCGGAGGCGGATGGGAGGTGAGGGGCTGCAGTCTGAGGGGCTTGGGCGGACACTGAAGGGGGAGAGAGAACTTTCCAGGCAGACACAATCTGAGGGTACGGGTGTCTGGAAGCGGAGAGAGCGGTGCGTAGAAGCACGATTGGGTGGTCAGATGATGATTTGGGTGTGGATGCGCACCTGTGAGTCACCAGGTGGGTGTGTCCGGGAGGGAGGTGGCCCCTCGGAGAAGTCTGTCTCCTTCCTTCCCAGGGATCCCTCACAGCTTATTACTATGTCTGTCTCCTCAGAAAGAAGGTATCTCTTGGAGGGCCGCCATGATTTCTGACATCCCGCTCAGCAAGGCCTGAGTCATGGGCACCTGCTCCCTGAGAGGATGTGGAACTGAATCTAAAACTTGCCTCCTTCACGGCCCATCACAAACCCTCTCTCATTCGGCCTTTCTCCCCTCTGGGCACACGCTTTCCACCTTTTCCTGCTGGCCCTGATCCCCAGCTCCCCGTTCTTCCTCTCACTTTGGGCTCCGAGTGTCTTGTCTCCCGAGTGGATCTAGGCTAGTAGAGGTGGACAGTCCCAGAAGCTCAGGGCAGTGCTCTCAGGACTGGGCCTTGTGTGGGACTCAGCTTTGGAGCTGGATAACCAGGCCGGTTTCCAGGCGGCCCCCCTGAGGATTCTGACTGCGAAGGCTTGAGGTGAGCTCATGTCGTCTGTTCTGGGTATTCAGCCTTAACCTCTGGGTCTTTGGATGCACGGTTGAGCTCGGAACTTCACGTGAGAGAGGTTTTCCAGGCCCCTGTCTCGACCTGTAACGTCACCCTCCTGCCCAGGATAGGTGCCCCAGACCCCATCTGGATATTTTCCAGGTGGGGAGCTCAGTGCCCATGGAGCGGGCCTTCCTCCCTGGGGGGCAGTGCCTCTGTGGTGTGAGCAGAACCCGCCTCCCAGAAGAACCCCTCTGGGGGTCTTGGTTCTGACCTTAGGGGCTGCATGGCCTCCTCCGGGGTTCCAGACCTGCTTTGCCAGGACGTGGGAAGGTGCTGGCTGCCTCGTCCTTGCCGGGTCCCTCTCCTTTCCTTCCTCCTGGGTCTGGGCTCTCTTGCAGGCTGACAGCCTTATCTCAGACTTTAAGTTTCTGATCAGATTAGAGGCTTGGGAAGGGGGTAAAGATGGGATCATGCATTCTCTAGCAGCCTGACGTTTGACCCCAACAGTTAGGACCTGTATTCACCTTCCATCGACCTGGCAGGGACTCACCCTCTCTCAACCTGGGGGGAGGAACCCGCCTATGCACCTACCCTGGAGGCCAGCGAGTTGCAAGGTGTGGACGCCCGGGTCTTCACCCTGCAGAGCTCAGTGGCAGACTAGCTCTGGGTGGGCTCTGCTCTCCCCTTGGACTAGAATCTCAGCAGTCTCAACTCTGGCCATGCCTGTGGTCACTGGGCTTCACCTTCCTTCCCTGACCTTTAGAGAGCTTACCTTGATTGAGCTGTGGTGGGCCCAGGGAAGCACTATATTTTAAAGCTTTCTAGGTGGTCCTAAGGTGCATCCTGAGTTGAGGACCACTGGGCTACATGTCCGGAACCCATCAGGCTAGCTCCAACTATGCATGGGGATAGTTACATGGGAGTAAAAGAGCCAGGGCCCTCTTACTCTGTATATCCCATAATACTGAAATGTTATTTTATATTACATATGTACTTGATACATTTTGTAAAAAGGTATTTAAACATTTAAGTCAGGGGGCGCCTGGGTGGTTCAGTCAGTTGAGTGTGTGACTCTTGGTTTCAGTTCAGGTCATGATCTCATGGGCTGTGGGATGGAGCCCCATGTAGGGCTCCTCACTGGGTGTGGAGCCTGCTTAAGATTCTCTCCCTCTGCCCCTCCCCCCACTCTCTCTCTCAAATAAATAAATAAATATTTTTAAAAGATTTAAGTCAGTAAAACCAAATATTTAATAATCAAAAATACATAAATGTATAATGCCTTAGAACATCAAATAAATGTAAAATTGATAAAATAGACATTACAGATCTAAAGTCACAGATAAAAATGAAGTAATAAAAACGTTAAAATCTACACACTTCAAAAACACCAAGTCTAGTCATGAAAAATTGAAGATGAAATGTTATTTGATCCCTTTTTAAAGCAGAATCTTAAAAAAGTACATTGGGCTATCATTGTATCTCAAGTATGGTTTTTTCCTATCAAACTTTCGAGAAAAAGCTCTTCCTGTCTCTGCCCTAGCCGGGGAATGGTGAGAAGATAGATTTGTGAGATACCTTCAAATATTTTCCGCTGACAAGGCCTGTTGGCTTTTTTTCAGGGACTGCTGTCTTTTATTTATAAGGAGCCCTAGCTCTTGTTCCTGAAGCATTTCCGGTTTGTCCTCAAATTCTTTGGCTTTATCTTGTTCAGATGGAGAGTCTGAGGCAGCATTTCCTGTATCAGTTTTGGAACTGTCGTGCTGATACTCCCCATGTTAGGAAGGTCAGTGAATAGAGTAATGATTATTCTAGCAACAGAGTTTTGCTTTGTCTGCCGCCGTGCAGTGTCTGAGGAGGACTCGAGACGTAGGTCACATTTCAAGGGTTTTGGTTGGGGTTTTTTTCCCCTTGACATTGTTATTGTCTCCTTTTTAAAACATATACAAAAATTGAGACATATACAAAAATTCCATGCCTGACCTCAACAGTGACCAACTCATGGCCAGTCTTCCTTCATCTCTACCCTGACCTGCTCCCAGCTGGATTCTGTCGAAGCTGATCTAAGATACTGTATCATTTCATCTGTAATTCCTTCACTGTTCATCTCTCAGTGAAAAGGGCTCTTTAAAAAACACAACTGTGGTTCTGTGATTGCACCTTAAGAATTGATCATTTCTCACTGTCATAAAACACCCGGTGTTCAGATTTCCCCGGTTGTCTCATACCTTTTTTTTTTTTTACAGTTGGTATGAGATTTCAGATCTTAAAAATTCGGAAATAAACATTTTGGACCAAGGGAAAATACACCGTTTTGGCACCAAGGTGCAGGATTATGAATAGAACCTGGCAACCACTGGGAAGAAGGTTCTAGATAAATGGGCCAGACCCTGCCTTTGGGGTTCAGAGTGACGTGGGCGGGGGAAGTCATTTAGTTGTTCAGCAAACATGCATTCAATCAACAGCGATACCGTGCCCAGTCCCAGGCTGGGCACCGTGGACATAGCAGTGAACCGGGCAGACTCGGCCAGTGTTGCCAGCAGGGAGCCCGGGCATTTCACTGTGAAATTTGCAAATGGGATGATAGAGACTCTTGCAAATGATACTTGAGTTTAGCCTTGAAGAATGGGTAGAATTTCATCAAGAAGAGAAGGTGGAGGAAGAGGTGTCCCACTCCTAGTAAACAGCAAGTGCAAAAACATGGAGTGTTCAAGGACAGAGCAGAGTGAAAGGGTGTGATGGGGTATGGCGCATGTGGCAAGACTGGTGGGAGGTGATGCCGAGGCTGGATGGGCTCTGGAGGGTTTGAGGATATGCTAAGGAGTGGGGTCTTCTAGGACCTTCCAGAGGAGACCCCAAGACTTTGTCATAGGAACATTAAGTTTGGACCATGAGTCAGGAGAGCAGAGCCTTGTAGGAACTATGAAGAGTTATTTGGATTTGTAAGCCCTTCCTGGAGCCCTCCACTAGACCAGGAGTCCCGCATGTGGGGGGCAGGCCTCTATCTGCCTTCAACTCCATGAATCTCCGGGGCTGGCCTGGAGCGGGGCACACACAAAGCGCTCACTATGTGTCCATTGACTGATGACCTCCCGGTGCTCCCAGCGAGGGCACTCTTGCCCACCTCCACCTTCACCATGGTCATGACAGAGGGAGCCCCCTTAAGCTGCAGCTGGGGGAAATATGGTGGCTTTTCCAAAATGGGTGAGCTATTTGGCTGTATGCATCTGCGCCCCACTTACCCTGAATGGGGGACTGCAAGGCCAGGGTTGCCCCTGGGCCAGCGGGCAGGGTGGGGCGCAGGGAGGAAGGCTCAGATGCGAGATTCTCAGGTGGGCATATGAGGAAATGCTGGTATTTGCAACCTGTGGATTGGTTCACAAAGCTAACGTCTCCAAGACTCACCAAGGGTTCCCTTATTTCCTTTTAACAGCGTTGTTGCTTTGGTGAAAAAAAAAATGACCTATGCTCATTGTGGGCAAACGCCGGTGTCATAGAAAAGGAGGAGGAAGAGAGTAGAGCAAATCCCTTGGGCTCACCACTACCGTCTAGAGGGAGCCATTTTGAACACTTCGGGGAACATCCTTCCAAATATTTTTCTGTCCATAAATATAAGCAGTTAACTGTAACACAGTTTTATGTGGATGGTGTTACAAGATTTATGCTGCTCCATAACCTGCTTTTTTCATTTAACAACACGTCATGACACCGTTTCCTGTCAGTAACGGCAGATCTGTAACATTTTTAATAGCCGCGCGCTGTGCAGTTTTGCATGGCTGTAGTGTAACTTACCTGGCCAGCTCTCCAGTGCCAGAAATTTGGATTGTTTCCATCTTTTCACAATGTGCTGAAGAATATCATTCAGCTTTTTCAGATGTGCAGTCATTGCCTAGCAGTAAATATCTAGAATAGCTGGGATAGCTGGAACAAAGGAAAGGCTTGGTTCACTCACCGAGTCCTAAAGCCACGCTGGGAGGTCACCATGGCAACCTCTCCCGGCGTGGAGTGCCCATTAGCTACACCTCCAGCCAGGGAGGTGGGTCAGAGCCCGAAAGGTAACAGTCTATTTTCTAGCAAAATTCTAAACCCAGGGCAGAAGGAGCATGAGGGAGTGTTAATGCAGAACTGAGACTCGTTAGGGTGCAGTGGTATCAATAGGCACTTTTTATTGAGTGCTGGTTATCTGGTAGATACTCTGGTTTTTCATCCTCGCAAGAGTCATTGAGCTTTCATTATCCTCATTTAACTGATAAGAAAATGCAAGATGAAGAGATTAGGTGATCGGTCCCTAGGGCACACAGGAAGTGATGGAGCCAGGATTTGAAAGTGTCTGGCATCCACCGCTCAGAATTCTCCTTACCATACCTTGGGATGCCAGGCTCTCCCCCGTCACCATCCCTGAGACCTCCGGTCCTGACTCCTGCCCTCTCGTGCATTCACTCCCACTGCCTTCAGATGGTGCACACTGAGCCTTCATGTGGCTCTTCTCCAGGCTCCATGCTGAACGGTGGACAGCTCCCGGAACATGCACTGCGTCCACCCCCGCGCCTTGGCTCCAGCCGCACCCTCAGTTCAGAGCGGTCTCTGTCCTCCACGGCTGCTGCACTCCTCTTTATTCTTCAAGACTTAGCTCAAGCTTTATGTCTTCAAGAAGTCTTTCCTGACTCCCTGGTGTGATGCCCCTCCTCTGTGTTCCCCCCAGAAGCAGCTGATGGTTCTAACCTTCAGATGTGTTTTGTGTCACGTGTCGGTGCTGATCTCCTGCACTAGAATGTGAGCTCTTAAGGGATGGAAGGGTCCATCCCCATGTCCTATATAGGGTCGGACACATAGTGGGTGTTTCAGTAAGTGGGTGCTTAATGAGTAAATGGCCGAGCATATTCCTGTCTACTCTCCATTTCTGCTCCTTGCCCCGGGCAGCTCTCCCCAGGGGGAGCAGAGGGATGAGTTTAACCCAGGCATGTTGGATGAGCAATCTGTCTACCAACAGC